TTGTATTGAAAAATAAAGTACCTAATTATAGATCTCTCACGCAAAGAACTAACTTTAAATGGAAAACACAGAATAACTTTAAGGCACACAAACAACGAAAAAAGACTTATGACGAGCCTAGTCACAACAAAGCAGCCAGTCAAAGAGAAGCAGTCTAGCCCTAATGTGAAAATAAATGAACTGGATCTCAACAAATTCATAAAAGGCCACACTAACATAACAACCGACCAGGTCAACGGTTTCCTAAAGAAAGAAAATGGAAATATAGGCACCCTATACCAACTAACGCCGTTTTAGCAGTACCTAGGTGTAACTCAAGAATACAAAACGAAAAAGGCAATTCTAAAGAAATACAAGCATTTGTTCCCTAGAAACAGGCAGAAGGGGACCATAGGGGAGTTAGCGTTAAGAAAACATGGGAAGCAATCGGCAATTTTTCTATTTACAAGAAAATCCATGAAAGAAATGTCAATTTCAAGAAATATCTAGGAGCACTTAGGACCAGTATCACAGGAAAATCGATTGCAAAATTAGTTATCCTAAAACAAGGATGGTGATTAGGAAAAGAATGGGCAAGATTCAAACAAATGTTATATTTTCTATTTAACGACACGGGCGTCACGGTTCTCATATACAGAGTTGGATCAAGTCTTAAAATACAAGAAAAACCCGAAGAGGAAATCAGTAACCTAATGCAAATTAATACAGAAACCAAAGATAAAGTAGGTACACAAATTAGGTGTTACTAAAGATTATACGGTGTCTCAATATAAAATAGTGAAATTAAGAACAACGTGGGCTACCAATGCAGATATAACTTGGACTGGTTAGCAAAAAATCATCTGGTACTACAAACTCACATTTACACAAACGAAGGCAGCCCGGCAGCCTTATGTTAAAAGTAAAATCAAATACACGAAATCCAGGTGGCATTTACGCGGGAACAACAATGGCATTTTTAGAAACAACAGAAATACATCACTCCTATAATCTCATACTACAAGAAGAGAAGATCCAGAAAAACGAACAAGTAACGCTATAAACAGGCACTAATAAAACTACTTCTTGAATATAATGACGTTTTTGCAAAATCGACAAAACGAGTGGGCAAAACCAACTTAACACAACACAAAATAGAAGTTGGGGACGCCAGACCAATCAAAACTCGCCCATACCGGGTATCACAGAAAGAAGACAGATCATCGACGAACAAATTCAGGAAATGCTTGATAGCAACGTTATTAGGCCTTGCCATTCTCCATGGTAAGTAAATACCACTCTGTACATCAATTTTACTGAAGTGTGTCGACGAATCAGCATTTATTTGGTATAAATACCGCGCCGAAAATCATTACCGGCAGACTAAGGCTAGTGCAAAGTATCTCAAATGGAAAAAGCCCCTCTAGCTAAGTCTCCTCCCAGTTCAAACTACCTTTAATGGGAAACGCCCTTCTAGCAGTATTGAACGCAGCAGACTAGGTCCAATGCAAACTACCTTTATTGGGAAACGCCCTTCTGGAGCTGTTTCAAACCCAGCTTAAGTCTTCAGTCACGCCAAGTGTACAGAGGGTACATAATACAGAAAGGCCTATAAGTAGTACGTCCCTTCGTAGAAGAGACGTCATGATACTATTTCTAGGGTAATACTATTATTATTCTATACATTATCTCATTATACCTATACCAAGCGCGTTTTCCTCTACGTGAACCCCACCTACGCCCACAAGTCACGCTCCTGTTGTGACGTCCCAGGACGAAACGTATAGGGGTTGTGACAATAATGTTTAGTATTATCTACTAATTTACGTTTTCTTCATTTGATTAGAAAGTTTACATCCAATAAATGGTTTTTCGATCACTTCGCCAGATACAAAAGTGTTTATCGAAAAGTAATTAAACTTGCGAAACATGCACAGTTCCTTATAAATAACTGAGATGGAGATTTCAGTCATGTATGTGAATGTTACTATCAGAAATGCTGTGGCCAATAACACATGTTTTGTCTAAATATACAGAATGAAAGTATACAGTAAGGGGCAGGCTACTAGGTATATAGGATCCAACTTGACGAATTTACCACCGTCCGCAGCCGTTTGAACCCCTGTCACTGTCGTTCGTTCAACAACTTTGACGTTTGTTTACTTCAGTACGATTTAGATACAGACTTAAGCACAGTTCAGACGCTACGGTTCAGCTCACTGATCAAAACGTTTTGTCTGCAACGTGTTTAACCTTAGAGCAGGTAATTTCCTAGGTGGGAGAAGTAGGAACATAAAGTTGGAATTTGAAGCCGTATTTTTCCAGGTATCTTGGGATCCAAAATAATGGCGGTATAGGCAATTCAATGCTTTACCTGTCATTTGGTGTACAAACACCTGCCAAAAACTGGCTTCACTTTAGTGTCATAGCAGAATGGCGCGTTCCTACTCCTTATGTCCGTAGGACAGCGCTTTACCTGCTCTAAGTGTTTATATATATATATGCAGACAAAACGTTGTGCAAAACGTAGCGTCTGCGCCATGCTTTCAGATATTTCGTCAAGCTTTATTTATTTATAATTATTAAGTTTACGCGTGCAGATAGCTAAGCGTTGGTTATCAATGTAGACACTAGACACTTTAAGCAAACCCTAAATATTCCTATGTATCCGTATCCGCTTCTGTGAACGCATCGACTTACGTTGACCGCCTAAAAGTCCTTTCATGGTCATACATTACGTAAACGATCGTATGATGACACGTTTTCTAACCACAAAAAGTTTTGTTTTGATTTTGTAGCTGTGTTTGTAGGTTTTATTTTTATCCATAAGTACTGTGTTTATGTTCTTGAAGTTATTTTAGTAATAACTGACAGGTACTTATATCCCTCAATAGTGTCAAATGATTGAGATACGTTTTCGGATACAGATACGAGGCTAGGCCCGTAACGATACGGACAACGTAACGCAACGAGACCACCGTATTCACTATCTATCCTGCATTAGATACCTACGTTTGAAATTCAGGACCTGCTTAAAGTGTCAACTTGCTTATCCTGATTTTTTATATGTATCCATCTCCGCATCGATCTGCGCACGCGCAGAATAAATACGGTGGTTTCGTAGTCCGCATAGTTAAGGGCCAAGGGCCCAATTACAGTATATTTGTATCTGCAAATTTGCAGTTCTGCAAATATGGCCGACTTGCAGATGTGCTCCATTTGCAGGAACGAGCAAATTACAGAAAAAAACCTGCAAGTCCGTCATATTTGTCAAAAAAGTGTTTGGGCGCTACTGATTTACCAGTTTGAAATGTCAAAGTTGTCAAAGTAACTGCAAGAACTTACGGGGACGTTTTGCTATGCGCAAATTTGCAGGCGACTTGCAAATGCATTCTGCTTCTGTAGTACAAAAAGTCAGACTTGCAGGTCCTGCATTTGTATCTTGCTGTTGCAGAGCTTCTGTAATTCAGCACCTAGTCTCGTATCCGAAAACGTATCTCAGCCATTGTGTCTTTAGCTTTAGTTTTTTGAGTGACAAGTCTTTTCACGTTTTGTTTTTACCTGGTTGTCATGAGTTAGGGGTCATTCACATCCACTTAACTTAACTTAAGGTACGGAAAATTATAACTAACGTACGAAACTGAGAAGGTGTCTGTTAACAATGAAGTAAATTATCTTACATGACGTATGCGCACTTATAACCTGAACTGTCAAGTCAAATTATATGCACAGAAATGGAAATTATTATTTATTGCACGGATTTTCTTAAGTTGGTTCAACTTTTCGTGTGTCACGTTAATTTTCTTAATTTTTAAGTGGATGTAACAACTATGTGATCTTCAATTTTTTTTTATTATTAATTTTCCGTACGTCAAGTTAAGTTAAGTGGATGTAAATGACCCTTTAGCACTAAATATATTTGTCATTTTGCCACATGCGGACGCTTGCAAATTCGTCAAGTTATATCCTATATACCTAGTAGCCTGCCCCTCACTGTATACCGAAAAAATTAGCTAGTTCAGGTATATTTTTGGCGAATTTACTCTCATAGAACATGTAAGATGGGAATCCATAAGTCTGTTGTCTAGCATTGGCAAAGTTCCAGAAATGTTTTGGATTTTTATCCCGATGCAATGACACCTCTGAGGATATGACATAGTTTGTATAGTAATCTTTGGAAAGAGTCTTACACTGAGCCCGAAGGTATGAAAATTCATCATAGTTAGCCAAGGGAACCCGTCTGCTTCCAAGTTCTGTGAGCACTTTTCTTCTTAATTAACAGGTCCGTTAGTTCAAGGGAGAACCATCGTGGAAATTTATGGCTTCTTTGGTACACAACAGTCGATAGCCCTATAGAGAACCCTAGTCATTTCCGTCACATCGAGACCCCAGACTAAGTCATCTCAGCGAACCATACCAAGGATATCGTTGAGTTGTGTGTAATTAGCAGACCCAAAATCATAGTAGTACGCGTCAGGCTGGGGGACGTCAGCATTGCAGTGAGGTGACCTATTGCAGGTGGCAAAAAGTAAAGCAGGATGATATGCATCCAGGAAGAATAATGTCATTAGCTAAGGTCTTGGGTGAAAACCAGATCAAGTAGAGTGTCACGAGCATTAGAGAATGCATTTATCTGGAACAGGTGATGGTAAGCGCTTATATTGGATTTGGTGGCTTCACAGTCTGAGGTTAAGAAAGACTTACAGAACTGAGACTGTCACTACCCTAGTGAGTCTTGGGTAAGTTGAAATCATTAAAAATGCGAATCTTGTAATCTGGATGTGTATCCGATAGAGTTTCCACTGAGTCTGAAAAACATCCGTAATCCTTGGTATTGGATCTAGGTGTTAGGTAAACTGCACCAAGCAATAATTTTTTATTCCCCGAGTAAACCCTGACGAATACCTGTTCAATAATCCTAGGTAAATCGTAGATTGAGCTAAAAATACCCCTTTGAGTTGAATAATTTCTGTGTTTTCAAAATTCAAACTGCAAATTAATTTAAAACAATTATTTCTTTTTTATTTCACTTTACAATAAATTGACTATGACGAAATTTCTCCTGTTTGTTTATAAAGATGATATCACACTATATAAATAAAATAATTATTACGACATTTATACAAATTAATTTACGCTAAAATTAATTTATTCCTGCCTGGACGATGATGTACAAAATAATTTACAATATGTATATATTTAGGTACAACTAGAAAAATTACAAAATAATTAAAAACGCATGCGCACAAGTAACAATTATACAGGGTGAATTGAAAAATTTACTCATTTCTCATTTTAAAATACTTACACAAAAATAAAAAAATACAACGTGTAATCATTTAACACGCTACTGAAGAGAAACTTCTTCAAACACGTAAGTATATACAGGGTGTTACAAATTCTTAAGAGAAAAATGAGATTTAATTTTTGAATTTCATAGAGAATTCAATGTTCTTTTCAATAGTGCATGCTTCATTTTGAATTGTTCAAACTTGTGTGCATAAAGAAGTTTCACTTCAAAAAAAATTTCGTCCGTATACAAAAATCGTATAACTAGATAAATTCAGAGATTGACGACGGATTTATTTATACTCAATAATTAAAATTCCTAAAATAAATGATTCGCAGCCGTTGGTTTCAAATGGTCGCCCAACAAGTAGGCGCCGCCGGAGCCCAACAGCGAAGTAAAAGGCGACGAAAGGGCGGCGGCGGCCGCCGCGTGATGATGATGGGACTGAAGATGGCTCGGTTGCGGCGACAAAACTTTGTTGGCCTGTTGTAGAAGTAGGGCGGTGTTGCACGATTGCGGGCTCATCGTCGACCATTTGTTGTTGTTCGAGATCGAGTCGTCGGTAAGTTTACCTGGATGAATTGAGAAAAATTATTCAAATTGTTGATATTAACAAAATGTTTTTTGATTCATAAGCCTTTTTCACGTGGCTCCGGTTTGACAAAGCGCAACATACCGCTCAAATTCGAGTGGTATCGATGACGTCATTATGTAAACGGTTTAGGAAACGATATGTCATTTCTCTAACCAGGGCCCGGATTCCGAACCCACGATTCGATAGTATTGTCTATCTATTTTGAATGAAGAGCGGGTAAATTGTGACAGGTGTAAAATTGAATAGAACACTACTTGTACATCAACCTATTATCTATTGTATTACTCATTAGTTATGGGTTTTTTAATTGAGACATTTTTATAAAAATAAAAATGTCCATCAACTGAATTATATTTCAATTGGGAAAAAACATCATCCATCAAAGTTATTTTTAGTAGAATCGAAGAAGACAATATTATTTTTATATTTCGTCTATAGATATAAATTTGGGGAACAGCTGGCACACTTCGAAAAGCTTCGTATTGGCAATTTATTTTCCACTAGAGAGGTACAAACAGGGAAAGAATAAGCGTTTTGTTTTTGTCATTTTAAAATTAATAGTAAACTACTTCCTATTGACTCAAAGTAATGTTTCTAGAAGTTAATTCTTCTTTTTCAATAAGCCAAGTATAAAAGCGAACATCCTCCATGACATCATGCCATCCATGGCTTCCATGGAACAGTTGACAGTAATGGAAATAAACGAGAAGCGGCGGGCAATTTTCTAGATTAAACGTCAGAGAGGGAGAGGAGGAGACGCTCCTGCTGCCTTGTCGGGGCTCCTGTAAGAGCGTGTGTGTGTGTGTTCCAGGAATTGTCCAGTTTCAAGGATAAAAGGGACAGGGATTGATTGGGAGTTTTGTTTTTGCCGTATGGCCGTTTCAAAGTAGCTAGTTTTATTTTTTCTTTTGGTCTGAAGTTTGAGATAAATGACACTAGGTATTACTTATTGGTAAATTTTTATCGGTTTGTAGTCAACCAGTTAATTTGGTTTATATATCAACTATTGACGTGGGATTTTTACTTATAAAAAAAGAAGCTTATAATTCTTAGTTCTCAATATTCTGAAAAAAATTAATATACGAATATTAACTCAGATTTTTTAGATGAACTAAGAAAATACCAAGATTTCTCCATCTTCCTTCTAAATTCTGCCTTTCCAGTAGACAATGGCCGTTACAAATTTGCTGTTATCTGTTATGTCATTTGGTTTAAAAAATGTCCCGGCGACCTTCCAACAGCTCATAATCCAAAATAATCACAATCTTTCAGTTGAAATGAAAACTTGTTATTTTTGAGTTTCATTATCGAATCAATGAAACCGAGGTTCAATGATCGTTCCATCTCTCCAAGTTTTACTTTTTTAATGATTTCTAATCATTAATCATTCAACATCTTCCAACGCCAATTCTTCCTAATATATTTTCGATAAAACTCAATTTATTTCTGCTTAATCATATCCAATGCCTGACCTAGGTACCATTACTTGTAATTAATTTGCTAATTATTGCAAAGATACTTAGCAAAACAACATTTCAATGTTCCGAGATCACTGATCAGTTAATTTCATTATAATGAATCAGTTTATATGATTTATTCAAACTGACTATAACACCTTTGAAAGCTTCTAAAAAATACTTCAAGCCATTAGAGGGACTTCAAACTTTCAGGATTTACTGAGCAAATGGATCTCAGGCTCAGAAATGGAATCATGATTTTTTTCGCAGTCACATGCAGTAAAATCATGTGAAATTTCTATTAAATCACCATTGGAAGTTTTTGAAAAATATTTATACTTATACTTTGATATGTCAATCTATCCGGATTATGTAAGAAAGAATTTTAATAGATTCCATATAATTCAGAATTATTAGTACATACCAATCTAGGACGTTTAACTGCTTTGGATTTTCAATTCCAGGAACGTATTTCAGACTTCAGAAAAAACTGAAGAAGAAATAGAACCACAGCTGTGCTGTGAAAACAAATAAATAACTCAGGAGAGAGTATGATGTTTCTGTAGATTTATACAAATCTAGATCAATCCTACAGACCACTCAAAAATATAGAATTCTCAAACTTGAAACTACATGCTTTTGAATAAGTCGTAGGTATACAGGTTTTTAATAATACTTTTGGTTTTTCCATGGTGCTCATTGAATTTTTAGGTGAAAATGGATGAAAACTTTTCTCATCCATATACAAGATCCAAATTTCTTTCGATCTCGACTGAATCAAAACAAAAAAGAAACACACTATGAATAAATGAAGAAAAAGTAGAGCGCGTCGAAAAATTGTTCGGCGCTGAAATAGAATTGACAATTTGCCTGCAGAAATCTTTGGAACAGTTAAATTGGAGATATTTATAAGTACCTAAATAGTAAATCATCAAGTGAGCTAATTTTAGTAGAATTGTGGTTGCTTCAACTGTTGTAAAAGAATCTTTCAAGTGATTGTTACAACTTGAATCTAAATTTGGATCAATATTTCAAGCATTTTCCGAATTTTCCGCAGGAATATCATTTGAATCAGTGCCTGGAAAGTCGAGTTCTGGATTATTTAAAGTAGGTATAATTATCAAATCAGTTTAATGTAGTAGCATCTTTTTAGTCTTTACATGTAGTTGCTTCATGTTGAAGTATTTTTCAAAGAAACAAATCCTGAAACAATCAATGCCTGAAATCGACAGAAATTCAGACTTTGAGAAGCCTCTTTTTCCTTCCTAAATATTGCAGCTTTAATTCTAAACGTGAAAAAATTTGCAGGATTTGTAGTTCTTGATTACAACTACATTCCCAAAAAATTGTAGTTCAATATTTTCGGCACATAATTCTTTATGGTTTTCAGAAGTTCAACTTGGTAAGTGTCCTCTCTTTTACAAATGCTGAAAATAAGTTCATATTTCTTAAAATACAATTTCAAATGAGGCAAAATTTGCAATTTTTGTAGTTCTCGACAACAACTACATTCTCAGAAAATTGTAGTTCAATATCGTCGACACATGATTTTTCATAGCTTTCAGAAGCTCAACTTGGAAGTCTAGGAATGTTGAAAACAAGGTCGTATCTCTAGAACTATAATTTCAAATCAGACAAAACTCGCAGGATTTATAATCGCCTACTGCAACTAAATTTCCAGATAATTGTAGTTCAATATCTTCGAAGGATGATTTTCTTTTACAAATGTTGAAAATACAGTTGTATCTCTGGAACTATAATCCAAAATGAGATAAAATTTGCAGGATTTTTAGTCCTTTACTACAACCACATTTTCAGAAAATTGCAGTTCAATATCTTTGAAATAATTATTTGTAACAAGTTGTAAAATGAGCGTGTTTTTTACACTAAATGTGAATATTGGACCACGAGCGAACCGAGTGGTCCAACACATTGTGTGCAAAAAACCAGCCATTTTGCGACGTGTTTCACAACTACATTTCCAGAAAATTGCAGTTCAATAACAATAAATCCTGAATCAATCAGTGCCTCAAATGGTAGGTAAAATTTGGACTTTGAGTAGAATCTTCAAATGAACTAGTTGTAAAAGAATCTTTGCAGTTTTCAAATGCTTCAACTACAGTTGCCAGATTAGAAGCTGAAGAAATGCTCCAGGAACTTCAGAATTCCATGGAAGAAGTGGGCCTGAAGATGAAATTCTCCGAAATCAAAGTGATGACTAATCTAGTTATCAGCGAACAAATGCAGATACGAAGTACGTATACCTGGGCAAACCTGGGTTATGAGATGAGAATTCACAGAGATAACCAAATATTCGAATTGACGAGAAGAATAACCTTGGGATGGGTAACATTCGGGAATGTGTTTGAAGCTGACATTATAATATCCCTGAATCGAAAGGCATTCAACTAGTGTATCCTCCCAGGCAGGGACAAAGCATATATCGAAAGTTGGGAAAAATTGGATAAAAAATTTAAAGTTGGGAAAAATAGACAAAAATTTGCGCACTTTATTTGCGAGGAGTAATTTAAATTAAATAAGGATCGTGTCACGTGTCGTATTTAATTGCAAAGTCACCGGACAACAGGATGACGAAATCACAATGGTCGCGACGATCTCTTGCGTTGCACTTTTTGCACTGCATTAGCGCCACTACCCTGCGGCAGTAGCACGTGACACTCGTGGCAGTAGTGCTATTCTAGCTAGCACTATTCACTATTCAAGAGTCAAGACCGAGGACCGACGTAGTTATATCTATAGCTTGGCCGTGTTCGTTTTTGACATCTTTTCGTATATTTGCTTCGAAATTTTGACAGGCACGTGACTGGATCAGACAGTATCAATTCACAAATCACGTTCCTGTCACAATTTCGGAGTAAATCGTCGAAAAAGATGACAAAAACGAACACGACTCTTGTTGTTGCAATCGCGTCGTGTTTGAGAGAGATGGACAACATAGTATACTATAGTTTATTTGTTCCCAAGATAGATTTTGACATTGTCAACTTTGAAACATAAACAATACCGCCTATTGGTCGCCAGATGCTATTTGCTCCACATGCATTGTAAAACTGATGTCAACCTGCAGGGACACCTTATTTTGTGACCAGTGCAAGCGGCATTGTTTACACAGTTCTGCGCATTCTTTGCTCGCTATTCAGGTTTCACTGATTTCAGCAAAGCTCTAAATCCTGTACTCTTGAGTTGAAGAAATAATTTTTAGTTTTTTTTTCTTTTGCACATTTTTTATACAGTGTCTATTTTATTTGATTATATTATTCGTTGATCTGGAATATATACATGTCAAACTTTTTATCAGTTTTTGAAGAGAAACTTCTTACGGCGGTGGTCTGATTAGATAAGAATATGGAGAGTGATTTGAAAGACGCATCACGTAACGTCACGTTTTGGCAAATTTCGTTAAACGAGAGACGAGAAAGAATAAAGATATATCGTAGACTGTAGAGAGATGGAGAAAGCGAGCCAATGACAATGACAGACGAGGAACGATTGGCACAAA